AGTGTATAACAATAATAGTTTAGGAGCCAGCTGAACAATTTGCTCAATATACAATTGCGATTCCGGATGTTTATTCCTTTAATCTCAACCTCGTTCATTCGCAGGCTTTTATTAGACCTCATTTGACTATAGACGCAAGGACCCTAATTTGTGTATGGCATTCATTGGGTGGAAAGACGAGTTGCGGGCAAGAACCTTTCCGGTCTTAGTCTACACTCCACAGACTGGAGAGTGGAGAGTCAACTCTTGACTTAGTCCACGGACTGGAGAGTCAAGAATTGAAACTATTCACTAAATTGTGTTTGTTTCCTTTCGAGAAAGACAACATGATGTTTGAATTGCTTATTTTTAGAATTTTTTTATAAAATAATGTAGTGTAACGTTTTGATATACCTGAGGTGATAAATGTGTTTATAAAAAAAGTAAAAATTTTTCTGTAAAAAAGTCACAATCCAAACAAAATCTAAAAACTCTAAGTGATAGTGTTCAAGTCAAACTAGTGGAGACTCGTAGAATGATGCGAATGCCCAGTATTCAAAGTACATTATCTCACTTGATGTTTGCCCGAATTAGACACGGATCTAGATTTTTCCTATATGATGCGAAGTTCTATATTTGTTTGTTTCCTTGATAAATATTGTACTGATTTAGTTTACACATAAGAATGGAGATGGCCTAAAAACTTTGTGGTTAGAGGCTTACATAGTGAATACAAGTTAAATTGCCTGTTGCGTTTTACATAGTTTAATATGCTTATATTCACCATATTTCGTTTAGATTCCTATGATCCCATTCTATCGTTCGATTACATGGAGAATAAAAGTCAAATTGCGCGTTTCTTGTCCATTTTTCCCATGTTTAGTCATTATCTGAATGATTATTTTTATGGTTGGTGCATCAGAAATGAGAAACGCAAGATTGACAAAAAGTGCGAAGAGTATCAAGACCACCATCATCTTAAACGCTTTTGAACAGAGCACACTTAGAAAACGATAAAGTTGACAGACTGATTTTTCAAAAGGTTGATAACAAAAACTTTTCGTGCCCGAGGCTCCTTCCGCCAAGTCTCCTTTGGAATCTTTTGGAATATTGATGAGGATTTGAACGTGACAATTAAACCCAAGAATTTAGACTTAATTAGCCCAAGCCTTTATGGACGCAAGATATGGGCTACTATTGGAAAGTTCAAGTTCAATTGACTTGGAATTGAGAATTTTGTAAAGAGTCTTCAAAATTGATAACAAGAAATGAATAAGTAGATAAATAGGCGCCAAGACTCCACCAGCAAAAAATTAGCTAAGGTCACCATGAAATCCGCTTAGACCAAATCTTCATCGGGCAACTTAATGAATTCTTATTAGATAATTTTGTGTTTATCAGAAACCCTTTTTTATTATTGGAGAAATTCTCATGAAAAATGAAAAAAAGAGGGTGCCTTGCATATATTTATGTATCCTAGCTGCTTATGTCATTTATTTGTGAATTGTATATATATGTATCGATCCATCCATCTCTAGGTTTATGTACTCCATTTTAAAGTACTTACGCTTAAAGAGTATAGCGAGTGGCGATAATCTTGAAACTTTTTGTATTTAATCTTTAATTGTTCATTTAAACCTCTAAATACAATACAAAATCTTTTAAATCATTGTCCTTTTTGACTATAAATTAATGTACAAATATACATGATTTGATGTCCTATTCCCGATTTAATTATACTATAAAAAGTTTTAGTTTATATCAATTCCTTGTGCATATTGAAACAATGTTCTTGACGCTCTTCAAATTTAATGTCCTATTCCCGATTTAATTATTTGAGAAAAATACAAAAAATTTTAAGGTACTAGGTTTTCTTTCTTATTAAATGTTAAGGAAAAGAAATGACTCCATTAGATTGAAGTAAAAGGTCTCTCTCTCTCTCTCTCTAACATTGATTTACTTTATAATATTTTAACGTACTAGGTCTAGATAATTTGCTTAATATGTTACCTTTTTACTTCTTCAAATTTTGCAGAAAGCATTTATGTCTCGTGCAATTTGGTGATATCCATGTAAAACGACTATGTATGAAAAACTAAAAAATGCATAAACAAAAAAGGAACTGATGCTAGAGTTTGTGGTAACTATATGAAGTGGAAATTGGAGCAGCAAACCAATCAGCATAATTCAATGTAGTATATACTCTTGAAATTATATTGTTGAAAGCAGTCTTCACATATTAATTTGGTCATGAATTTGCTTGCTAGGATTCACTTACCTGCCTGGGAAGATTTATGTCTCACATTGGTGATATTGGACCTCCTCATGCATGAATTATATTTTTTTTTCTTTCTCTGTTTCATAAGATTTTTTTAATGGGCTATTGTTTAAAGGGTATTTTTCGAAGTTCAGTAAAAAGAGGACAAATTCCACTTTATCCCCTGTAGTTTAGGATTTTCTACATAACCCCTATAGTTTCAAAAGCTATAGATAATCCCCTCATGCTTTGGATTAAAGTGTCAAAGTGACAAAAATAGTCATTCGTAACGGAACTTTTAAAAATGTCGAAATTACCCTTATAAATACATAACATACTAACCTTGTATGGTGTTTATATTTTATCATATAAACCCCTTACGGTTTACTACTTTATCATATAACCCTCTTATGGTTTTCAAAATATACACATAACCCCCTTTGGTTAATAAATAATTTTCAACTTTTGTAAGGGTATTTTTGATATTTTAGGTGACTTCGTTACGAATGATCATTTCCGTCACTTTGATATTTTCATCCAAACTATGAAAGGGTTATATATAGTTTTTAAAACCGTAGGCGGTTATGTAAAAAAATATCAAACCACAAGGAGGTAAAGTGGAATTTGCCTTAAAAAATAACGGTAGACTGGTCACACCACGCTTATTTTTTAATCCAACTTAGCTTGATTTTTAAATTGTTCTAGGAATCAAAAGTTTAAAATAGTTGATTGCAGAAATTAGAACTTTAATGTGCGATCTCTGATCGCAGAATAGTTGGGGGTGCAAACTGCAATTAGCCCTTCATTAAAGTACATATTTTTTTTCTTATTTATTGTTCTCAGATTGAAACTGCAATATTATTAACTGTTCTTAGAAGTTTAAATTTGAAACAAAAATCTAAATTTGATGTGTCCAGATTCCAGAACATAGTTTTTAAAATGTACCAAAAACTGAGATACACTAAAATTTTTGTATTAGTCGAGGTCATAAATATTTTTTCTCAACGATATTCTATTGGATTAATTTGTCTTTAGAAGAACAACGGTCTAGAAACTTTTGCACCGCGCTTAAAGGCTTAAATGAAGAATTCAAATTTAAGTCCAAAAAGTGCACTCACCACACTCTCAAATATAATTACTATTTTCATAGGGTACACTTAGAAATAGAACGAATGACACATATACATACACTTGCATACATATACATACATACATATATACATATATATATATATATATACACACACATCAGGGGCGAAGCCAGAAAAAAATCTTAGTGGGGGCAAAAATAACACTAAAATTTTTTATCTACTCTTTTTCTAATTTTTTAAGCAAAAAAAAAAAAAAAAAAGTCTCGTGCATAAAATCACCATTTCACAAGCTAAAATATTTATCAAATAACCTATTTATTAGTTATTACATTAACTAATCAATTTTCAAATTTCTTTAAAACAGTAATAGTCTCATGCTCTAGAAATATATTTGCAAACAAATTTAAAATAATAATAATAAGAAGTAATTGTTAAGAACCTGATTTTGATGGTCTCCTAAAGTTGGTGAAAAAAGCTGCAAAATGTGGCGGACCCAAGTCCTAGAAGATCAATAATTCTAGTGCAATCTCTAAATCGGATGAAGTGATTAACAGAAAGAGTAACAAGCTTTGATTGTGGAAGAAAAAGTGGCTCTCATATGTATATTGGGGAGTGGGGACAACCGAGAGCCAGAGGAGGAAAGGGAAATTGGGGAGTGGGGACAAAGGAAGTAAATGATAATTGGATAAAGTGATGAAAAGAAAGAGTAGTTGGCTTGGGTGTGGAAGAAGAGGAGCTGGTTGTAAAGGGAAATGGGGGACCACAGAAGTAAATAGAACTTGGGGAGTGGGGACCAGAAGGAATGACTGATATAATTGGTATTTGGCCTGTCGGGGGAAAATGGGGACTTGAGGAAAAAAGTGAATTTGTGATCCATTCTTTCACATTTTTTCTAAAAAAAATTCTGGGGTCACATCTAAAATGATGTCAAAATTGTAGATGTATTATAGGAATTTAAGTGCCCCCACTGCCCCCCCTTAAATCCGGCCCTGACACACATATGAGATGTTCCCAAATGAAGAGGTCCATTAAGAGTAAACTCACAAACTAGAGCTATTTAACAAATGTTCCCTCCATTTCGTAGCATGACGGATGGAGATGGTTGGTCATTCGCTCTGTTTGATAGGGGTGTTAAAAAAGAATCCGAAAAAAGAGTAACCGAGAAAGCTGAATTGATTCAAATAAAAAAAATAGGGTAATCAACTCATAGTTTTTAAAATAATTAGGTTACCTAGCCTACTTAAAAATTTAGATTAGAGCATGATTTTCGATTTTTAAAAACTGCAGTGACTACATTTTGATTATCATCACCCATGCGTTGAGACTTTTAGGACTTGCCATTTCGAAAGACAATATTCATGAGATTGGATAGGCTGTCAAGTTCTTATGATAAGTAAGAAATTAATAAACTGAAATCTATTCTACTGCCCTGCATTCATGCCTTGTTTATGCTGTCTTTCATGCATCTCGACTCTGTCTCTTCCTAAGATGAGTTACAGACATTTTCACTGAAGATCATTTTCATGGGACAGTTCCAGGATATGATTTGCAAATTGCAAGCTCAAGATAATATGCACAAGACACAGTGAGATAACCATGTAGCCAAATTAAGCACCAACATATATCTTCGGAGGAAAATGCAAATTGTTGATGACATTACAAGCAAACCGCTGTTAAAAAGCTACCTGAATCACATCAGGAAATACAGAAATTAACATCCCTTTTGAAAAAAAAAATTTCTTGCTCCTGTCTTGAACTTGAAGCATTTGGTTGGCGTGCCCGGAGTCAAAGGAAAGGATTCACCACAATTACACCATACGCCTCTGCCATATATTCAGAACAGAAGATACTTAAAAGTAATGCATCAACAAATACTTTCTTTTTTTTGAATAATTATCTGATATGTCATGAATTTCAAACAGAAAATTGCAATTTTTAGTTATCTTTATATAACAGTTATATACCTGCTTCAAAGGCTTGAGCCCCAGAGAATTGAAGTTTAATCTTCTGGAGTGCTTTAGGACATCGTTCATGGTCATTCTGTCCTTAGAAGCGTCTGCTGTACAACATAAAGCAAGTTCCAGGATAGATGATATGCATGCTATCTTATTCTTGACTGGTTCATCTTGAAGATGAACTACGTTCATATCCATAAGCTGAATCACAGAATCTGGTAAGCATTCTTGTACCCAACGCTGCAGCTTAGCTCTTCAGTAAACATCCCATCCTTAGGCCTCATTTTAGTGAATGTCTCCATCAATGTGATCCCAAAGCTATATACATCACAACTTGTTGAAACCAGTCCTTCTAGTCCATACTCTAGCATCAATATTGAATTAAATTCGTTTGCTAAATTCAGAACTTCGGTACTGAATAAAAAAATTTTTAATTAGTTAAAAGTCGAAACATCATTTGACTGACATCAAAAATTGGAATTGCAATCAAGAAGAGTTACCTGGGGCAATATATCCGAATGTAGCGAGAGTCTTTGTTTGTACCACACTTTCTCCATCTCCCAACAACTTTGCAATTCCAAAGTCACAAACATGACCAACCATATCTTGATCTAGTAGGATATTGCTGGGCTTCAAATCACAGTGAATCACAGGAGTTGGATAACCATAGTGGAGATATTCCAAACCACAAGCTACATCTATCATAATGTCTAGTCTTTGCATGATGTTCAAGATATGAGTGCCTGAATAAAGCCGTTTCTCAAGGCTTCCATTGGGCATGTATTCAAGTATCAAAGCTTTTAAGTCAGGGTTTGAGCAAGCACTGATGACCATAGTCAAATTACGATGACGAAGACACCGTAAGACTTCACATTCCCTGTTGAAGCTTTTAAATGCACCATCGAGCTGCAAATCGAAAACCTTTATAGCCCAAGTCATCCCATTTTCTCGTATTCCTTTGTAAACAGAACCAAAGGTTCCGGAGCCAAGTAATGCACTCTCACTGAACCCGTTTGTTATTTGTCTGAGTTCGTGGAATGATACCCTCTCAAATGTTGTATCTGGATCTAAGTTAGACGGAGACATAATTTTTCTTCTCCATTTTCTTATCACCAAAAACGAAACTACCATGGCTACAACTGCTGATCCAAGTGCCAACAACACAAACAAGACTGTCTTTTTCCTTGAACTTTGTTCCAAAGTTTGACAAGGTTGGAGCCAAGGAGCGTCACACAATGCTTCGTTTGAGAGGAAAGATAGCTTCGTAAAGTTGGCAAAAGGTCCTCCATGTGGAATTGGTCCTCTAAATCTGTTGAAGGACACATTGAAGTATACAAGATTCTGGAGTACTTCCCGTGAATTGGGAATTTCACCAGTCAAATTGTTAAATGACAAATCCAGATACTGTAATTCCAACATATTCTTCATAGATTCCGGAATAAATCCTTGCAGCCTATTATGCTTCAAGGATAGTGCCTGTAAACTCTGTAGTCCTCCTATGGCTGTGGGAATATCTCCAAAAAAGTTATTGACAGACAGGTCCACAGTTATTAGTGCCTTCAAATTTTCATTTTCAGAGGAAAAAGAACCGCTGAAAGAATTTGTGGACAAATTGAGCTCCAAGATATCCCTGAGTCTCCACAAATTTGAGGGCAAGTTAAAACTTAAATTGTTGGAGTCCAGATATAGATATCTTAAGGAAGTAATATTCCCTATGCAACTAGGAAGTCTACCAGAAAGCAGATTGCTGCTCAAACTTAATCGTCCTAAGTTCAATAAATAACATAATTCACTAGGACAGGGTCCTTGAAATTTGTTATATCCAAGCTCCATTTCCTGAAGTTTCAATAGCCCTCCAAAGGTTGGTGGAATTGTCCCTTCCAAGGCATTCTGAGACAAATTCAGGCGCAATGGATCTTCTGTGCCACACCCCGTCTCACACCCTATATCCCACTTCTTCTAATCTTGTCAAGTGTCCCTTGATAAACCAAACTCTCAAACAATCCAATCCGAACCATGTTAAATTGATTAATCGATTAACCGGGCAGAGAAACTTAATCTCTATAATCAAAACCGATTAAAATAAAAAACTATCTCACAAAATCACAATTTATCAAGGGAAAAAAGCCCTAAAACTCAGTTTAACATCTGTCCTCTCGTTATCATCTTCATCATCTTCCCCATTATCTCCCAAAAATCACTCACAATGCACACACACAAATTGATGATCTGGGTTGGACTATCTTTCTCACGCCCACAAACACTCCCGCAGTAGACTATCTTTCTCCCCCATTCACACACACAAATTTTGCAGACTAAAATCTAGCAGGAAAATTCAAGATTTTTGAGAGGAACCCAAATTTTATTTTCCTTTTTCCTTGGTGGGTTTCTTCGAATACCAGATCTTCTTGTAGAAATATATTTAGTTTTAGTGTAAATTTGTACTGGGTAATAGGTACACAATTCTTTAGAACTATGAGAGAAGTAACAGTCACTATTCTTTAGGCTGTGGAGTTGTTGGCGGTGCATTCTGGAGGGAAGCCTTGAGGAAAACGTTTGGCATCTGTACAATAATTGTATATCATGTAATTCTGCTGCACCCATTTCAGTCTGGCTTGATTGGTGGCATCAAGTTCCTGAGAGAACCATGGCTTTGTGGAGTTTGATCCACAAGAAGATTTCCCAGAGCTCCATACACAAGCATCGGCCTTGAAATTTCTCAAGGAAGCTGTGAGAACCCTGAAAAAATAATAATAATAATAATAAAATATATATATATTCATGCATATTTCACTTGCATTTTGACTCTTTAATAAATTCTAGCATTATTTTTACTTGTCTTTAAATAAGTACGTAAAAATAGTTTTTACGATACAAATAACGTAATTGTGTAAAATACTGAAATTACTTGATTCTTGCCAAGATAAATGGATATTACTTGAGGTAAATTATTTTATCGCCTTAATATTAATCCTTTGAATTCTGTTAGCTAACTTTAAGTGTTAGTAATGTTAAGGGTCGACGGAAACCCTAGAAAATTTTTGTGTAAACCATGCATGTATTATTTCCATTTTCGCCATTAGAATTATTATATACCAATTCATAGATTAATTAAACGTTTAAATTTAAAACTTATAAAACAAACTGTACGAACCAAATAAAAACATGGTGTATACCATAATTGGTATGAATTAAACATATGTTAGTGCTAAGCACTTGTTTAGTTAATTTCCTAAAAAAAATAAAATAAAATATGTGAGAACCTTGAATTATAGATATACATATATACATATGTACGTGTTGCATGTGCATTTTAGACTTTTAATAAATTCTATTATTAATTGATCTTAAATAAGTGTGTAAAATATTATGCTAAGATATTTGTGCTAAAATATTTGTGCTAAAATACAAAGAATGTTTAGGTTACGAATAATATAATTGTGCTAAAATATTAACTTACTTGGTTTTGTTAAGTTAAATTAACATCTCGTGAGGTAGATTATTTCATAGTCTTAAAATAAAATCTTTGTATTCCAATAGCTAATCTTAAGCGTTTATAATAATTAAGTGTTAACAGGAACCTTAGCGTCTAGACGAAGTCAATATATTTTAGACAAAACCATCACAAGTACACTTAGCATACCTAAGACGTAAAAGTCTCAAAAATTGAATTTTTGCAAGAATAGTATACTAGTAAGCAGTCAAAGTTCATTTGGGGTAAATTGTGGAATTAGATTAAGAATGATGACTCAAGTGGAAATTCGAATAAGATGTGAAAGGACCAAATTAGCCCTCCACCACCTCGGATTTGCCATGCAACCACCAAAGCCCATTGGCCAACTTTAAAACACAAACATATTCATCCCTGCCGGATTGCATTTCATTCCCCACTCAGACACTCTATCTCCCTCATCCGCGACTTAGCTCTCCATTTCAGCAACTCCAACCTTCCACAACACCATTTCACTGTTGGATCCTTAATCCAACATTGGACTTATATATGAATAATTATGTATTGCAAACTGTCAATTAAGGTTAAACCCAATTAAAGTGATCAAATATAGTTTGGGTTTAATGTATCTAATAAGATGTGGGCCCTTTTATGTGTAGAAACTTATGGGCTCCTATTTCAATGATGGGCTGAAATAGGGCTCCAAAGGTAACATGAATGTTACCTATAAATAGGGTTATGGTCCCCAGGTCACAGGCATCGTTTTTTAGTTGTCGTATTTCCTAATACCACAAAATACCCCTTCCCTGATATCCCATCGTCAGGAAAGATACCAGAGAGAAACTAAAGGCCTCTCTCAAAGGATCGGTGAATACCTGTTGACCTGGAAGGCCACCCCAAATCTCTAGGGATTCAAGTATCAAGTTTATCAATATGGATTCAGGTACGCTTCCGCTATTTTATCGTTTATTTATTTCTTGATAATCGCCATATAGATCTTGGGTTCAATAGGTGATGGTTTTCACCAGTGGTTAAATTTAGATAACCACCCTAACAAGTGGTATCAGAGCCCATATGGTTGGTTATTGGGAAATAATTTTGTTTTAGTAATTCATAGTTTTTATTACTATTGGTTCTGTTTTCATGGTTGCTAGCTGCGGACTTTGATGCTATTAAATATATGACTGTTATGTGTTCAAGCCTTGTTGATTCACTGCTTTGATCATATATGTGTAAGATCTTGGTTGCTTCTGCCGCAATACATGGATTCAGAACTATGATGTTTCTTAAGTTTATTTGTATCAAATCAGTTTGTTTGATATAATGGCCGATTGACCTTTACATCTGGAGAATTTGACTTAGCATACTGTGGCTAGTTGGCACATGTTTCGGAATCTTAATTGATTGTGTAGTAGTCCCTTTTTTATCTCAAGTAGAAAGCCGAAACAGAAAGCTAAAATATGAAAGAACATAACCTTCTAGTGGGCCATTGTTTTACTGTACCAAAAGCCGAAAGCGAAAATGGCTTTGCTGTGACCTTTTCATTATGCTTTCAGTCAACACTTGAAGTTAGTGGGCTCCACTAATTCTTACATATGAATTCATGAATTCGGTCAACGTGAATCAAGTTTTGTTTGCTGTGATGATTTGGTTTGACCAATTTAATATTTATTATGTTGATTCAATTTGTCAATAATGAGACTCTTTGGCCTGTTTCATTGTTTATATATATGTATATGTTAAGTAAATTAGGGTTTCTTAATTAAAGTGAACCCTAATAAAGTTAAATAGGACATTTAAGCCCTATAAAATCCATATGTGTGGCCCATTAAATATGTAGTTTTTCTTATAAAGTACTTATGGATTTCAAGAAAATTTTTGGGCTTAAATGTTAATTGTGGGTCAAATTATGGATATGGACCTTTGGTCCAATAAGTCATGATTTAATTTGATTGATTTGACCATGTTTGACCACGTTTTGACCAAAGTTGACTTTGATTAAAATTTTTGTTTAATTTAGATAATTTTAAATTCGAATATTGGTATGATTATATATATTTTGGAATAAATTAATTGAAATAATATGCCACCAAAGTGACCTCTATTATGGAAATTAATTTATTTTACAATATAATTAGTTGGGTACTAGTAATTTTATGAATATTGATCGGCCTAAAGGAAGGTCAATATTTAATGAAATTACATGTGCACTTGTGGTAATAAATACGTGATAATTATTTGGTTTTTACATGTGATTTATAAATTGGCCCAAAGGAAAATTTATTTTCGACATGTTATTATTATCAGTATTTATTACTGCACCAAGATATCACTCAGAAGTTAATATTTTTGTCCAAAGATGAAATATTAATGGAATATCGGTATCTTGAGATGGGACTACCATTATTTAAATTTATTATTGTTTTGATTTATGTGAGCTTGTTTTAATTATGTTATGTTTTCTGTTCAGTTGCGAATGATCTTACAAATATTACTTCCAACATCAATAATATTCCTATGCTGAATGACACAAATTTCAAGTCCTGAAAAGAAAATCTCTTGATAGTACTTGGAATAATGGATATCGACCTTGCGTTAAGGAATGATTCACCCCCACCTCTTACAGATCAGAGTACCTCTGATGAAAAGAGAAATAATGAGAGGTGGGAGAGATCAAATCGCTTGTGTCTGATGATCATTAAAAAGGCCGTTCCAGAAGCATTCAGGGGAACAATGTCAGAAACGACTGTAATCGCTAAAGAGTTCCTTCAGGACATTGAAAAAAGGTTTGTCAAGAACGAAAAGGCTGAAGTTAGTACGCTTTTGACACGCCTTGTTTCAATGAAATATAGTGGTAAAGGCAATATCAGAGAGTACATCATGGAAATGTCTCATCTTGCTTCAAAATTAAATGCACTTAAGTTGAAACTCTCTGAAGAGTTACTAGTGCATTTGATTCTAATATCTCTTCCTACACAGTTTAGCCAGTTTAAGGTGAGTTACAACTGTCAAAAGGAGACTTGGTCTCTAAATGAACTCATCTCACACTGTGTAGAGGAAGAGGAAAGGTTGAAGCAAGAGCAGACAGAAAGTGCCCATCTGGTGTCAACCACTAATAATAAAAGTAAGGGACTTAAGAGAAAGAAGGAAAAAGGAGCTGCAGGTACAGCGCCACAAAAGAAACAACAAAAGAAATCAAATGATCAGGGAAAAAATAGTTGTTTCTTCTGTGGAGCTGAAGGGCATCAAAAGAAGCATTGCACCAACTATCACGCTTGGCGTGCTAAGAAATGTATGCTTCTTAATTTGGTTTGTTCTGAGATTAATTTAACTTCGGTACCTAGACACACATGGTGGTTAGATTCTGGTGCAACAACTCACA